TAAGTAACTTGTTAGACGAAAAATCAAAAATAAACAACGATAGCACAAAATAAAAAATTTTTCCTTTTCCAGTAAAAAATGAAGAGATAGAAAAGATCTTTCAATGAGGATAAAGTAACCGACGTCTGCGGTGGCTTCAGCCGTCACCTGCTGACGTACGAGTGATTGGTTTTATGNCTTCGAGAAAGGGAATTTTCCATTCTTGAAAAAAGTCACGCTCCGCTTGACAAAGTATATTCTCACTTACAGCTAAAAGTGACAAGCTCCTGAATTCTTCCGCTAATGCAACACCATTTATACCTATTTCTGCCCTTTCTAAGGATTCTGGGAGGAAGTATAACTAATTTGAAACTTTTGTTGTAAGGTAAGCATTCATTACTCACTCACTTGTTACGTGCTTTTCTGTTCTATTGCTTGTTTATTTACTGATTTAATTATTAATTCGTTTAAAGACTTTATGACGCACTAACATTTGCAAATGGGTTATCATCTACGCATAAAGATTGATCCCTGCTATATGAAAGGAATGGTCAACAAAAAACCACTATTCAAAACTTAAGCAAAGAAAAAGTCAAAAAAAGTTAGATGATGAAGATCGATCAGGCAATTAGCCATATTTGGCTTAACGTAGCCAGCTCTTCACGCAACTACAATTATTCGAATTCCCCCCAAATACCCTTTTCATACCATTTCCGCGACTATAACCACGTACAATTCTCAGTTTCCAGTAATTTCAAAAATCCTTGAATTTCATGAATTCTGCAGTTTTTCGTCACCGATGCACTATTCTCCACCAACACTTCCGCTTTTCAACTCAAAAGGGCACCTCAGAGTTGCCATTGAGAGCGCCTTTAATTGCACGTGTGAAGATAATAATAGATGTAGTTCTTAACTATTAAGCAAGGAAATGTCAGCTTCTAAGAAGGTTGTTCTTTGAGGTTTTCTAGCAAAAAAATAGTATCTGACAAATTAGCAGTAATAAATGAATGATTAGATAAATAGAGAGCCCTTGTGACCTAATATGAAACAGTATGTGGCACGAGTAAAGTTAGACGAAGGTATTATTTTGATTTCAATCACTTTTGGGGATAGCACTGAACGGTGAACAGCCTTATTCC